GGCCTCTTAGTCCTTCCTGGACCAGGATGGAGACGGACATGGTCTCTAGTCCCTTGGTCTGTGTTCTCCATTACTTCACCAACAAACCCCTCTCTGCAGCACAATGCACCCATTTTCACACTTTTCTCCCAACAGTTTAGTAAAAACAACATGTTGGACATGGACAGACTGTCAAACTGAACCTTCATTTCACAATATATAAAAAAAAATCTATTTTTTAAACTGGTGCTTTAATATTATGCTAATTTCAAATGGATATTTCAGCTAAAATCACCTAAAAACAACAGATAAAATCAAAACACAACGAGAAATGAGAACACAGCAACAAAATAGCCCCCCCCAAAATGAGAGTCATAATAATCAAAACTAAAATGAGTCTTGATCAGAATCAGATTATTTTCTACTTTTCATGATTTTATTTGAATTTTTACACAAAGTAATATGTTGGTCCCGAGTGGCCCTTCGTTTTAGATTTTATTAGACTGAAAATAAGTGTTAAAGGAACATTTACAAACTCACAAAAAAACTCCTGACAAATATAAATAAATAAACTTTATTATCAACTTTTCTTTTTTTAAATTAATCAGTCAAGCTAAAAATACATTTTGATCTTCTTCTTCCCCTTTAAACAAACTGCTTTCTTAATATCTACATGCAAAGACCGGCATCAAGGAATCAGATGGCTTTTTTATACATATCATTATTATTTGCAACTACTGTGTAGTTATTGTACAATTTATAAAAAGTATTATTTTAGTCTAACTGTTAGCTTAAAGAATTTTAGCATGACAGTTTCCTCTTTTTTTCCTTATTTTATTTAGTAACAATCTTATTACACTAAAGCATGCACTGTTGAGTTCCTTACAGGATGAATTTCAGATTCATGTCTATTTTTCTACCACAGCTTTACATAAAAAATGTTCATTTATATTGTTTGTCCCTAATGTAAGTTTCTGGCATCACACACCCCAGAAATCAGAGACAGTGGTGGCTGCGATCATTCAGATTGACTTAAGAACTCTTAAAATACCAAAATCTTCTTTTTGATTTGTCAGATAAATGTCAGAACGGTTCGAATGAAGTGATGGACGAGGGAGTGATGCTGCTGCTGAATGGATTTTCAAATGTAAAACAGACACTGTCAAACACACTGTATGTGTACGTGTATATGGATGTTTGGTTAAAAAACAAGCAAACAAACAAAAAAACAGTAATAGTAATAAAATCATTTTTTCTGTCCTCTCGTCTATGTTTGTTTGGAACAAATTGTATTTCAATAATACAAGTGATACCACTGGGAAAAGGATATAAATTAGCATAAAATGTTTATTTGTTTTTTTACTGTGTAATGTTTTTGATTAGCAATTTGGAAAATTCATCCAAACTTAATGCTAAAATGCACATCAGTTAACAGAATGTGTTGACCAAGAGCAGAAATGTAACTCTTAGCTAAACTAAACCTCAGCGGAAAGCTTAAAAATAACTTAGAAATCCCATATCTGTGAATCTCTTGCTTTTATTTTCCGAGGTTTACAGATTTTGTCTCATCACAGCAGCAGAGAAATAACACTCATCTGTAAATACAGCACAGGGTGTTATTTCACAGCACTGTTATATCACCCTGCAGGTATGCAAATAGAGGAAATATTTCTGGAAAGGGTGTTAGAGAAATTAGACTTAAAAAAAACAATTAAGTGTCATCCTTTTGCACACGTTTCCAGTTTTTATATGGAAAACGTCTTCATTCAGCAGTTGTGCTGCATCATTGTGCAAACTGGACAAAACATTTAGGCAAGACGAACAGACATCTACTGTAGTTTAATGAAGCAAAACCTTTATATTCACTTTTTTTTTTGTTTGTTGACTGCATCAATCAACGTCTTGAAATGTGAAATGTTGTTTTCTTTATTGTCGCACTTGTTTTCCTTCTCATCCCGCTCAGTAAAGATTTATTTCTCATCTCTATTATATGCACACGTGCAGCCTGTCATGCCCCGTTGTGACTCTATTTAAAGCTGTGTGTTTTTTTTTCTAAGTCCGAAGTCGAGCAACCACAGGACAAAAATAACCCCCGCTCCCTAAGGAGATGCAACGTTGACTTGACAGAGAGCAGAATGACGGCGCGCTGCAGAGTAGAATCATTTAGAGGGATTCCAACGAGGAACTACACCACTGGATGGGGATTATCATGCACGAAAGCCATGAGCACACTCGGTCTGTGCACCACTGAGAGAGCTCTGTGAGGGTGGTGGTCGTGATGAGGATTCTCCTGCAACCATTTACCTCATTTGGTTGTCATGG